TCTGGAAAATGAATTGTATCCACCCTGTTCACAGCCATAACCTCAGCATCTGGGTATGGCATACAGCATGCGTGATAAATGTAGACTGAACGAATGAACAGATGAATAGACAATATTTTTCCTATTTCTATTAATGAACGATGCCCAACAATAGAGATTTACATTGTATTTCCTTGCTCTTCGTTTGTCACAAGCCATTCAAAAATAAGAAACTGAAAATGACAACATTGATTTGAAGCAACTGAAAAGTATTACCAATATAATAGATAAGATCTGAAAATGTTTCCTTTATTAATATTTCTTAAGAAAGCCTCACTATGTTAGGCAGACTGTCTCATTTGTCGCATGCTTTCAACACCCTAAGTTCTACACCATTCAGATTCCTCATTTCCCTTCAACCTAGTGACCACCATTAGCAGCCCACTGTATTTTTCACTGCCCTTATGTTTTTGCCTCAAGCTTTAACTGATTATATTCTTTGATTTCCTTACCCTGGCGTAGAGTCCCTTTTAACTACAGATCTTAAAAGCGACACTAGCTGCTTTTTGTTCCTTGGGTTTTTTTTCCCCCCTTCAGGATAATTATATTCCGTTGTGCCTTTTATTATCGTGTCTTTTAGGATCTCCTAACCTTGTACACTCTTGGGCTTTATTTAATAGTGAGCTCCCTCCTCTACTCTCCACACTAAACCATGCTCATTAGGTTTCTTAATCCTCCATAATTTGCTTTCATGAAATCTTATACCTTTGAGTTGCTGTGTTCTGCGAGCCCATATCTTTAGTATAGCTATTCCAAGCAGCCGAGAATCAACAAGCACCAAACATAAGCTTATTCACTTTCTCAGCCAACATGACTCTACAGAAAAGAAAAAAAAAAAATCTTTGTTTTGAATGTTTATGGACCATGAAACCATCATTTTAACTTGGTATTTCATTTTCTCATTCAAACATGGCCAGAGAAGGTTAACACCACAGATTTAGACTCCGGGCAGTCCTTGACGTATAGTTATTAACTTAGAGGCTTCAGGTTCTCCTTGGCCAGAAAACTATCCTATTTTAACAGAACAGAAATAACAATATCCTGATGTTAACATAGTGACTAGTAAATTCCAACTATATGTTTGCCTTATATTCAGGATTCAGGAGAAGAGAAAAACATCTTTTTTCAGTTATTCTCCAAGAGCTCTGCTTTTCCAAATTTTTTTTTTTTAAAGACATGTGCATGTTCCTGAAATCTGACTAAACACTCAACTCTGCTCTTTCCAGCAGTTCATCCTCTGCTTTCTCTTCAGTTCTACTCATCACTCACACCTTTGCTAATGGATATGTACAGGAGGGCAAAGACAGCATATATTCGGTTTTTGTTTTTTTTAACTTCTTTCGGTGAAATTAAAAAAAAAAAACAAAAAACAATTTAGTAGAGAACTGAAAGAGTTAACGAAGTTTCCAAAGGTGCCTTGCTTATTCAAGCAAAGTTTACACTTCAGCCCTGTGCATGTTAACTTGTGATCCTCCCCATCCAGATGACAGAAAGCAAAGCCAGTAATTTCTTTATTTAATTGGTTTGCATCCACACACTGACCTCCAGGGCTCTGTTTACATAGCCTATCATGCAATATGCTCCACAGTTCCCTGCCTCTTTCCAAAGCATGTTTCTCCTGAGATTTGATATATAGCTTTCATGTTTAATCACTGCATTAGACTCAATGCTCTGCTTCCTCCACATCAACTAACTTCCCTTCTTGGGAGGTGGGGAGAAGAGCACGGCTTCTTGCTACTCCTGAACATAAAAGGAAGTCTGTTTCACTCTATTAATAAAATCACCAGCTACACACGAATGCAGGCAAGCAACAGCAGTGCATCAACTAGGAAACAGCATTAAAATGGAAACCCTAAAACCGCGTGAGAAAGAAGGTGGCCTGATTGCTCTCCATCGGCAAAGCCAAAAGCTTGACGTGACTGAGTTATAAACCAACAGAAACAAACTTTAATCAGTATATAACTCAGTACATAGAGGACACAGCTAGAGGGCAGCTAAAGTGTTAATCAAATTAATCTCCAGGACAGAACATTCCTGGGGTTCTCGGATCAGAATTAATTCAGTGCCGCTACCTTCTGGTTAAAGGTTTTCTTAACCTTCACCACAAAGAGCACTTTTGAGGACCCTTTAACTGATGTGGACATGGTAATGCCACAACCCTTTCCAGAAGAATGTGTATGTGACCCACATTTCTGAGACAGACCAAAAAAACTCAAAAAAATAGTTGATCTCTTTCAGTAAATCAAGACAATCCATAACCTTCAGGCTTCAAAAATGACATGAAATGGACGTATTTTACTTTAAAATATGTCAAGCAAAGAAAGGAAAGTGAAATAAATATGGCAAATTATTAACAATAGTAAAATCCAGATGATGGATTATGTGGATGTCCACTATACCACACTCTCTAATTTTATAGAGAGTTGAAATTTTTCATTATAAAATTTTTTGAAACTTTAAAAAACACAAGTTTGTTTGCAGATGCTTTTATAGAAAAAAAAACTGATATAATTTTGATAAGAAAAATTTAAATCTCTCTCTAGGCTGATCATTCAACAGCCGACATTTTTCCCCATGTGATGACAGTGAAAACCTCCCTTCCTTCCTCATGAATCTCACTCCACAGTCAGAAACTTGGTTACACACACTACAAATGTGCATAAGCCCTGCGTGAATTGGGTTCCTCACTTGGGAGGGGAGCTATAGGTACATACATATACATGTCACATTTTACTTTGAAATCCTTTCCTTTATGGCTAGTCACTGACCATACTGTTTATTTTTTAAGTGTTTTTGTTTTGTTTTGTTTTGCCTTGGTAAGATTGGCATCCTCCTTCATTTACAAAGCTTACTCTGTCAGGAACACTCTTACAGCTGTATACAACATTAAGCAGAGCAAGTTCACTTTCTGTATTTGATGAACAATAGAGAATCTGAACCTATTAAAGTCATACATTTAATTGTTCCAATATGCTATCTTATTTCTGACCAAAATTTGCATGATAGAGCGTGCCAAAGAATACAGGTCCAGCTTCCTCTGCCATGATTCCCTCATTCGATACTAAGCTAAAAGAGCTTATAAGAAAACATAATTACCTGTTTCTTAATTTGAAACCATCTGAATTCTTTCCATAACATATCTAAATTCTAAATTAAAAGAATAAATAAACTTTTCATCAGTATTCCCCATAAGATTTTTCAGGGTACAGAACTTTGTACTTTTCAAAGACATGCAGATGTGGTCCGTGATAAACCTGCTTAAAAAAATTAGGACTTAGAAAAAATAAGGATCATGAACAAAATCTTTGGTCACTAGAGTGAAAGATGTATGCCTGTACAGATGTTATAACTATCACTACAGGAGTTTAGCGGCATATTTTAATTTGGATTTCAAAATTCAACGTAAATTTTCTGACTTTGACAATAGCTGCCTAATATTTCAATTTTGTACACTATTTCCAGGTTTTACCTTCAAAATGAACCTGGTGGACTTTTTCATTTTTGAGAACTATGTTCCAGATACTATACCCTAAAATCAGTTTCTGATTGATGTTTAGGGAATTAAATCGGATCATAACAAAGTAGGCCCTTAATATGACACTTGGTGACTTACTGGCAAATGATAAAAAGACATCCCACTTCTATGTAAAAATTCATTCTCTATCAAGTCTATTCATTTATTTTTTATCATACTTAAATATTTTACTGTTTAAAAAATGACAAAGACTTTTCACCTTACTTTGAGTCACCTCCTATGAATCAATAAAAAGTCAAGTCACTGATATAAGGCCACCATGACTTCAGTCTCCATGTAGTCAATATTGTAAGCGAGAAATGTTGGTTTTATGCTATTAATGTCAGATGTGATTCAGAAGCCCAAGAACACACAGAATGGAAAGATTTCTGGTGAAATTGTTAACTCAAATGTACCAACTTCATATTAAAGAGGCTTACCAAATTGGAGACATTCATAAAGGAATGCAATAAAAGAAAGATGAAGCTTTTAACGAAAAAGCATGTTGGCTCCTTAACACCACTACCAAAAAGAATATATAGTCCTTAGTTCCCTTGGGAGCATAATAAACAAAAAAAATGTTTTTAAGTTAAAACATAATGGAACTCAAACCAGAGTCAGAATGTTACTTTTAAATTCAATAAATTCTATGTTTCTCTGAAAATTATTTTCTCCTGGAAAAATAAAAAATAATCAACGTTTATTTATCTATTAACAGTTCACTAAAGGGCATAAGGCCTTTGTACTGAATAAGAGGAAATTTTTGTGCTTTAATTATAAACACCATTAGAAATTCTGGAGCACATAAATCTCAGAAAATGACATAAAGCCTCAGTCAAACCCAAGGATTATATGGCTACATTAATGAAAAGAAAACATCTAATGAGGCTGATATGCCACTGTTTGTGAGAATGTGAATTTTGTCTTGATAGATACAAAAGTAATGGCTTAAGGTGACCTTAGTTTTGCATTATCCACTCCCACAACAAAACAAATTTTTTAAAAAACTAATAAATCATAAAGAAATTTCCATTTCTACTGGCTAAAACTCCTTAGAGTTTGCTGGATTAAATGTATTTATTATCCACATTTGACGACAAGTCCCTTGCACATAATCTTCAAATTATTCAGGATGCTTTGCCTACTGAGAGAATAATACTGTATTTTGAGTGGCAAGAATGTACAACCCCCACTTCTGCTCTTAAAATGGAACTCTGCAGATAGAGAGCATTTAATGCTTATTGCAGAACTATCGAGAATCCCAAAGTGAACATCTCAAGTTCTGATTCCAGGCAGCCAATCGCCCTGCTTTGAGGTGGGGTTCATATTTTGAAAAGAGGCTGCCTCGTCTGTTTAAAATCAAAATGGCTCTTGATCTGATGAGTTGCTCCTCAGAGAATAATGTAAATAAAATATACTCAGAATAACATCACTAATGTAAACATACCTGAGCCGGAGTCAAATTTGCTTTCTGACCTGCAAAGAGAAAGAAATGTTTTACAATACAAAAACTGCATATTAAGGAACAACTGGTACTTTATGGGAGGGGATGTAGTGGTTACAGATTTCAGTTCAATGGCCAACAAGGAAAACAGCTTTTTAAAATGTAAATACATATCTCTTTTAACTATTTTAAACGTATGCATTATCCTACGTCCCCTGAACATGCACATATCTGCAGAGATAGCAAGCATGAAAAAGATACTAACTTTTTAACTTGTTTTGAGAGAAGGGGCATAAATTGCGTTAAAAAAAAAAAAAAGAGGTAGATTAACTTGTTTCCGTAATATAATAAAGCAATAAAAAACTCAAATTTAAATTTATCCTCTTTACTTATTATTAAAGATTTCCAATTATTCAACACCAGGTAATTTTTCACTAAGTTGTTCGCTGAGTAAATGAACCTGGTAACCCCATACATTTAACAAGAGGGAGAAAAAAAATCTGAGCCCTTGTGGGAACATGATGTTTCAGATATAGGCTAATACTGGTTGTAAATTCAGAAGCCTTTGAAGCTCTCAGTTCGGCTGTGGGAAAACTTCTGTTGGGTAATTACTCTCAAGATGCTGCTGATGTGCTGTCAGGCAGAATTAACCCTATGACTAGGCCTATCTACACAAGCTACTATAAGACAGCATTGTCTATATCTAGCTCTCAAACCAATTAGTGGGCATGCTCCAGTCGGATTTATATCACACATTAACAATCAATAGTATATATGTTCACAGCTGCCACAGCAAGATACAAGAACCCACCAGCAGGAGTCCTGTTAAGGGATGTTACATTGACAGAGAAGATTTTTTTTTTTTTTTCCTGGGGAAATGTAGTTAACTAAGTGGGAAAGGAGATTTCTTTGAAATTATGCCAGGGTACCAAAGCACTTTTGGAAGCCGGTGGCTTTCTTTACCTAAATTAGTTTCAAGAGAAGTCATCAAAGGGGAGAGGGGGAGAGGATAAGCAAGAGGCAGCTTTCTTTGTCATAAAAACCCATTTTCTCAAGTATTCCTAAATGAGGTTTCACCTGATACTTAGAGTCAATAATGGTAAAAACAAAAAAGTGTTGTCACGGCCACGGTTGCCGACAACCAGCAGTGCGATGCAGGCCCGCTCTCCCAAGCCCGAGCCTGACCGCACTCCTCATCCCACTCCTTCACTTAGACGGCCCCGACTGCTCTTCCAGGTGCAAACACTTTTGCTTTTTGTCCTCTCTCCTCTTCTGGAAAGGCTTGCCTCGCGCCCTCTTCTTTGTTCCCAGCATCCCTGAGCACAGCTCGAAATGGCGTTGGCCCCACATCCTGCTGGTTTCCTTGCCTATCTTCCCCACTACACCTTCCTCATCTCTGCAGCCACAGCGGTTGCACGGCACCTGCTGCTTGTACCCAACAACTGTCGGTGGAGGGGAACTTCCACCAACACACACACATCCTTCTCACCTGGATAGGAGGTGTTCTTCCTTCTGTCTGGGCTTTTCTCCACTTATGTGCTAAAATGCATTCTCTCATCTGCCCTGGAACCGGGCTGGATGAATGACTCCTCTCTGCTGTATTTTTCTTTTTTTTTTTTTTTTTTTTTAAGTTTATCGGTTTATTTTGAGAGAGACACAGAGAGAGCAACAGCAAGGGAGGGGCAGAGAGAGGGGAAGAGAGAGAATCCCAAGCAGGCTCTGTTCTGTCAGCGCAGAGCCGGACGCAGGGCTCCAACTCACGAACCGTGAGATCGTGACCTGAGCCGAGATCCAGAGTCTGACGCTTAAAACCGACTGAGCCACCCAGGCGCCCCTCTCTTGTGTCTTCAATATCCAGGTTTCCCGCAGGTTTCTCCTCCCTTCTGAAGAGGAGTGCTCAGGAATTAAATAAATGTCCTCCTTCAAGTAGGTGCCCTATTCTTGTTATCTGCTTTCCTCCTATGCTCACAATCGAGCCTATGGGAAAGGATAAACTATACCGTATGGTGTATGTTTTCTTCTCCTGACCTCCCAACACATTCGCTGTTTGAGCCACCACGATCTGTCCTTGCTAAGGTTTATCAGTGGCTTCCCGTTGCTAAACCAAAAGCTAAACGTATTGCTAAACCAAAAGCTAAACGTATTGCTAAACCAAAAGCCCTCTTACCATCCCTACTTTACTAAACCTCTCTCCAACTAACAAGCAATACTACCTGAATGTTGCACTGGGACCTCAAATGACCTATGTACTAAGCTCAATTCATTGTATTTTCCTTCAAATATAATTCTCTGCTATATTCCCTATCACTGAAATTGGGCATCATGATATTGTCCTAGTTTTCTTCTGCACCCCCTGTATCAAATTTGTCACTAAGACCTGTTGATTTCACTACCTTCCTCTTCTCTCTGTTCTTACTCTTACCATCTTTGGGCTTATCTTTGACTCAGAATCTCATACCCAGAAATCCCACCCACCCATCCAATCCGTCACCCCATCAGCTGCCAGATGTTTCCACATTACCACCACCTCAAAAACTAGAGCAGGCCTCTCCAAACTTGGGTCACAAATTGACCCATTAGTGGATTATAAAATTAATTTAATACAACTAGTATTTTTTTTAAACCTGAACTGGAATAGAAAAGAAGACAAATGCACTCCACATATTGAGAGTCTGGGCAATTTTGCACAACTTTTGGGTATATGTACATGCATTTGTGTCTGTGCGTGATGGCACACGTGCGTGCTATGCAGCACTAGCCTTACAAGTGAGCTAAAGGCTCTGCTCTGGTCTTCCTCTGGCTGTGCCCTCCTCCCCACCAGGCAGGGAGTCCCCTCTTGTATCCGAAGCTCCAAGTACCAGGGTCTGTGGCATTCTTCACCCAAAGGGCCCTGCCTGAGCCAGCTTCCTCACCCTAGATGGGCCCTTTCTTCAAGTCAGGTTGTTCTACTAGTGTATGTACCTCAAGCCCGAGGGGTGGCCAAAAGCTGCTGCTTGAAGGAGGGAGCTTGGACCCAAGGGCAGAAGGAAGGGGACACAAAGAGGACAGGGCAAAATGCTATTTCTGCTCAGAGAATTCTTAATTCAAACCCTTCCGTGAGAGTGGAGGATTGGAGCACCGAGGGGCCAGAGGTTGCCCCTTGGACCAGACCGGCAAGGTCTACACAGCCTTGGAACTCAGGCGTAGGGCCGGTGGAGATGGGGAAGGGGCGATGATAGGACAGAGGCTGGCAGAAACGAAAGAGCTCCTCCCCCCAGAAAAGAAGAAAACAAAGGAGGTGTTCTCTTATGGATTCCACAGCCTTTGGAAGAGAAGGCTGAGGGAGACGTCCCCTCCTCTTCTCCCACTCTTGGCCCACTTGCCATTGTCTCTGCATTTCCCCAGGATGAATAATGAATAATAGTCTTTTGGTGGAAGTCTAAATTAACTTTATTTGCACTGTTCTCAGTTATTTGGTATCAATGGTTTTACACACAGTTTTCACTGCTTTTGTCAAGATAGATTGGTATATCCTTTTCTAACAGTTTATTGCCTTGATTTATAACTTCTTAAATGACTAGCTCTCTTGTATCCCCATTTGTCCTCTTGCCCAGGTCCTACAAGTGGTAGGACCAGGCCTGGTAATAAATCGTCATGTAAAAAGGTACTCAGTCCAGGCTCCTCCACCCCATCTCTAATTCACCGTATCCTTCACTCTCACCAAATAAAGAACCGTTACCACATTATGAGCCTGCATCCAGTACTCTCAGGCTAGAATGCCCTCCCCCCAGCTCATCACTGACAAACTCTTACTCAACTATGAAGACTCCCCTCCATCCTACCAGCACCCTGCCTGCCCCCCTTGCCTCCCAGACACTAACCTCAGCAAGATGCAGACTGGGTTTCATCCATCTGCATATTCCCAACACTTACTGAAGCATGTGACATTTAAGAGTTTTTAAAATTTTACAGCAGGGGGCGCCTGGGTGGCTCAGTCAGTTCAGCGTCTGACTCTTGGTTTCGGCTCGGGTCATGATCTCACGGTTTGTGCGTTCAAGCCCTGCGTCAGGCTCTGTGCCATGGCAGGAGCAGGCATGGCACGGAGTCTGCTTACGACTCTCTCTCTCTCTCTCTCTCTCCACCCCCACCTCCCCCCCCCAGCTCTCCCCTGCTTGCACTCTCTCTTTCTCTCTCTCTCTCTCAAAATAAACAAGTAAACTTTAAAGAAATTAATTAATAGGAATTAATTACATGAATTAGTACATGAACAAATGAATCTGTAATTAATTAATTAATTAATTAGTAGGAATTAATACATGAACAAATGAATCTGTAAACTAAAAGAAAGCTAAAAATAAGGTACAGTGGCCCAAACCTCTATAAAATGCATCTTTTGAGACATGAAAAATCATATCAAAAAACTTTTATCCCTCAGACCATCTTATCTTCTCCAGAGATAGCTGGCCAATACGTAAAATATACCCATAAAGTGCAGAGAAAACATCTTCACAAACGAATTAATGATGCTGGGTATCAGTTTAAAAACAAGAGTATTTTTAGAATTCTCAAACATAGTACTGAACCTTCAAAAAACACACAACTACTCTATTAATAATTAAGACATAATAATAGAGTTAATACTATCAGTTTGAGGGTTAAGGAAAATTGGTCCTATAGTATAAGTTAAATCAGATTTCCTCAGATTTTCTATACACACATGGAATCAATACACACGTACACATTCAAGACACAAAGTATGTACTGTGGACTATGATCATCTCTCCTTCTAAATCCTCTTTAAGGAAGTAAGCAAAATATAGATCGCAACAAACAAATGGCAAATGTGGGGAAAAAAAGGATTCACACATAATACAGATTATACAAGAAAAGCAAAGAAAGGATGTTCATTCATTCATTCCAAGCCATGTATGATGTGCTTTTTTTCAGTAATTCACTAAGCTTATACGGCAGGGATATGAAAATGCAAAAAGTAAGGTTATACGGGATATAAGATGCGTAAGTAGAATTGTCTCCACAGACACCCATTTTACCC